AAAAAAAAAAAAAAAAAAAAAAAAAAAAAAAAAAAAAAAAAACCAGTGAAGAAGGATGTGATCCAAAGACTCCCCATTCAAAAGGCGTAAACTGCAAACCGAGGAAGAGAGGGCCCACTGTCTACACTGAACATGGCTCATCCTGCTCTCCATTTTCCAATCAAAAAGACCTCTTCAAAAAAGCAGTCTCAAGGGTGTTTTCCCCAACCAATCTTTCCAAAAAGCTAATGCCATGAAAGTGATCTTGTAGGAGAAATCAAACAGTTTCAAGGACAGAATGCAGGAACCTAGATGTTTTGGGATATAGCTAGATTTCTAGCACCAAATTGGCGTACTTTCTCAAATCATTTTTTCATATAGATATTTTTTGTATTGGACAACTGGAGAGTCAGATAGCCTTCTTGGTTGTAACCTCCTAGACTGGCCATAATGTCTCATCTACGCTCACATACTTTTTTTCTTCATAAGATATATAGTTTATCATAATAGAAGCATGCAAATATATTCAATCTGTTGTACGTACTAATGAGAGGGATGTGCTCTCCATAACAGGAAGTGAATAAACTCACCTTCAGAAGGCTGACTTAGTCTCCTGTTCTGGGGAGAAGTCATTTCTTTCTTCAATTGCATTAATATGTCCTCCATTGTATGCTCCCTTTGCCAGTTAGCAAGCATGGGGAAAAGGCTTGGTTCCACCTACACATTCACATGAGCTGTCAATTTGGTTTCAGTCACATTGTAGCAAAAGTGCTTCACAAAATCCTAACATACCACCCCGGTTTCTGAATTGACACAGGTCATATTAATCGGAGTTTGAAATTTAACGTTCGGAGGATTATCAGGGTAATCCTGCCCACAGAATAGCTTGAGTTGATGGATGCGCCCTTCATGAACAGTCTGAAAAGCAAGAAAAAAACATTCAATTTACAATTTCTTCCATCCCCTCCCAACAACAACAATAAAGAAGAATACATCAATTTCCACCGACGCAATGACACTACAACGCTGAAGCCATCATTTTTATCAACATGAGAGGGGTTATCAAAAATACCAGTTTTCTTTCATTGTGAATTTTCAAGTTAAATACAATCAGGAAATCAGGATCTTGTATACTTCAACTCCTGAATTTCAATCCTTTAGCACGAAAATGGCAGGAGTGTCCGCTAACTGCATGCTCAAATCTTCATAATCATATTAAAATTTAAAGATGATAAACATGGCATAGGGTTTTTCTTGATTTGCGGTCCTTCTGTAGTCTAAGCACATAAGCTAGATTATCACACTGGTTGCTTATTCTCAAATGATGTACCTAGTAGTCCGACATTGACATCTTTTTAACGAAGAGAACAACTTATTTTTCTCAAATTAATTAAAACGGCATACAAAAAATAAGGCCCAAACCAAAAGGTACCAAGAGAACATCAGAAAACAAAGAGAGATAAAATAAACACGAGAAGATTAAAAGGGAAAAAAAAAAGAAAAAAAAAAGGAACTAGTAATGAAAGAAGAACCAGAATCTCTCAATATCATCTACAATTTAAATATTTTACATCAAAATTAATTCCAAATGTATTCCCTAGTAATACCAGTCAAAGTGTCCAAGTTTTCATACTACAAAAATAGTGTCTGCTGTGGACAAGGTTTAGTGGAATTCCGGCCTGTATTTGTGACAAAATGATCTTTTCTATAGGTCGAACTAGTGTGAGCGGTCCCTATCAGAGAAAGCCATTGCGCGCTAGCCTCTTGTTTGTATAGGGTTCCAAACCTGCGCACCCCTAAACTAAAAGCATCTAATTCGTCGATACAAGAAGCAAATTATTGTGAAACATTGTTATCTACAATTCGAATTCAATTATCTAAATTCTGATGATAACAAATTTTCTTGTAAACATTTATGTGAAATCCTACACTTGATACAGTGCAGAAATTGATATTTCCATAGCTGTCTGTAACTATCCATATCAACATTTATAAAGCAGAACCAAATACCATCAGAGACTCCACAAGAAGAGGAACCAAAAGGATGAAAAATGAACTTACATTAGGCGGCCCAATAATAGTTCCCGTCCAAGAAGCCATACAGATATCATCAGCATCATCCATCCCATAACTGACAGTTCCATCCCCGATTCCTTTTTCACCTCTTTCAAGTTCTTCCAGTAATCTGAAGTTTCGAGGAACTGAAAAAAAAATAGAATATTGTTCAAGTTAGAGCTTATGGTGCTAAAAATGAACTTACATTAGGCGGGCCCAATCTTTTGCGGGTTTCTTTACACTTTTTCTATAAATTACAGATTGTTGAAGAAATAACATTACATTTATTTTTTAGTCAGAAGCCCAACTTTCGTTAACATGAAGATAGGAATGGAAATCAAACGAACAGATTCTCCATTCAAACAGTCTGGTAATCCAGACAACATAACATAAAGCCAAAAGTAAAACGCCAAGAATTTAACCAACAAGCTAGTAGAGCCCAACCTGCAGACCCGAACTGATCGAATCAGAAAAAGAAACGAGAATAGAACCATCTATCCATATCACCACACTACCTTCCAATATGGAGTAAACAAAAAAATCCAAGCATCTCCCGAGTACAACATTCCAAAGTCAGCTAAATAAAACAAAATCTGAATTCACTAACGAAATTTCCACACATTAACGCCAGAGCTTGCAATTTCCACTCTATAGTATAAGAAAAAATCATAACAAAAGTTGATTCACAACTAGAACAAACTCCAATATCCCGAAGAAGTTTTAAATCGTGGTTGACAGCAAAAAGAACAAAAAAAGGCTAACAAAATAGGAAATGTCGAATTGTGGAATTGGAAAAACTGGGGGCTCCGAACACTCACCAACAACCTTCGCGGCCTCGTCACCCATTTTTGAAGCAGGGTATCTGAACTAGGGTTCCCAAAAGACAAAATAAAAAATAAAAAATAAAACCCCAACTGTAGAGAGAGAAAGCGTGTCACAAAAGATAGAGGAGAGAGAATAAGGAGAATTAGAAAAGAAACTCCGAATAATTTAGGCACACAACCGCCGTTCAGTACTGCAGAAGGTTGAAAAATTAGAGTAATCGTGTGCTTCGCGGCCTTGATAGTTTTCCTGCACCTGCAGATCACGTCCGTTCCATTGATCCAATTGGTCGACTGGTTCCACACATCTGACTCCTGTCGTTTTTAATTAAATTCGATTTTTGACTTATTATATTTTAATAAAATAATAATTTTAAATCTTATCAGTAATTATCATTTTAATTCATAATTTAATATAACACGCCACTTATCACGTACAACTAAATATTTGATCCTGTCGAGAAGATAGTAAATTAATGAGTTTATTAAAGATAAAAGTACGTTCAAAGGGAGGTCATCAAAATTAGAGTCAAAATGCAATGTTTTGAATGGGCAGGCTTCCCAGTCGATTGATAAACTAAACGAAAAAGTATTGAATAAAAATGGTCCACAAATGATGATGTAATTCATAGTTTCAGAAGAATAAGAGAGGTATGAAGGATGATCATGAAGAACAAACTCCAGTGTGTTCATAAACAAAACTACCCCTTCTGCTCCATGAGTATCCATCCAACCTATCATCGTTGTTGTTCTGGCTTGTGTTCAAACCATTCCATCATATCTTCATCATCACTACATTCAACAAACTCAATTCTTCTTTCCATATTGTCAGATCTCAAGATCAGATCTTCTTCTTTCTCCATTGCATTTTCCAAGCTTCTTCTCCTCTCTAACATCTCCACTTTCCTTCTCTCTGCACTTTCTGCACTTGGAAAATCCGGAAATCTGCAGTGTTCTTCACCCTCACTTCCACCAAATCTCCACATACAACCGTCATCGTTCTTCCTCCTACTTGCATTGGTTCCAACTTTACCAGAACACAATTTAGGTCCAGCAGAAACGTTTCTAGTGTTTAGTGCTTTGGGCCGTCGGTGATCACACCTCAAGCATAGCGTGTTCTTCCTAAAATTAATATAGGTGCACCTATACAAACTGCCTAACTTCAGTTTCATTCAAACAGATAGATCATGAACATGAGAAAATGAGTTAAAAGTGCAAGAAGGATGGCTCACGATTCGCATTCCCACTCCCCCGGATTCAGCTGTCGATTCAACGGCTTCTCTTTGCATTGCAAACATGTTGAATTCTTAGCAAAGTTCAAGAAATTACATCTGCAGAAATGCTGTCTCCATAAGAAAAAGTACCGCAAACACACACACAAAAGAAGCACTGCAAAAGCTTTAGGACACGTGGAGAGTCGTTACTTGTCGCAAATCCAGTCGCCCTTCTTCAATGGAAGATTGGCTTGATCCTCGTTTCGTTTCCGAAGCCTCTCAAGAGCTATACTACCACAACGCAAGCACTTGACATTTCTAGAAAAGTTGAAGAAGTTGCATCTACCAAATGAAGAAGGGAAAGGAAATCCATTATGCACATTTCAGAAATATAAAGTTTGAATGTAGTTAGTTGGGTTTACTTTGGACAATGCCAGTCGCCTTGTGTTGCTGAAGCATTTGTCTCATGATTTTCTGTTGAAAACCCCTCATTAGACTTTAGAACATCAGATTCACGTTCTCCTGCACTGTAATCAACAATTTCTTTCAATAGCTTTCTAACAGAGTCATTAGCCTTCTTGTCCACACAAGGTCTGTTCTCCACCATAGCAGAGATGTGATCAAGCCCGTAAAATAACAAAACGCGCATGACATCCACGGTCCGACCTCCTCCGTCTCCGCATGCCTTTGCATATGCCCTCTCACATTCTCCCCGCAGGTTGCAAGAACTGCAGACCTACTAAGAAGCCTATTCATGTTAAAGATGATGAAAGTCTAGAAATCATAAAAACTGTTTTGCTTGAAAAAAGATGAATTGGGTTGAACAAAATTTGCAAGTGCATGAATAGTAGAAAATTCAATACATACATTTCCCTCATCAATGCCCACATGTGCTCTGAGACGCTTCCCTGAGTTCACAACTTTCCTATCTATGCTTGGGCATCCACATCCTGCAATCACCTGTAACTCTTTCCTGGACAAGCACCTGGAAGAAAAGATACCGCACTTTCTCAGACATTTGACAATAGTAAACTAAAACTATAGATGAACAATATAATAGAAACTTATCCTTCTTGGTACTCAAGCCCAAGTTAGTTGGTTGTTTGCCACGTTTTATCAAATTCAAAATGGACTCGACCGCAGAAATGCTCCGATGTGATTAATTTTTCGTAAAGGGAATACCGAGAAAGAATTTTTGTTTTTCTTTGAATGGCAAGTTTTACCTGAGTACTAATATTACACAAACTTGAGTTATGAGGATAAGAACGAGTTTTTTCTTTTCAAAAGAGAATAAAGAATAAACAAAAGAATAAAAAAAAACGTATTTAAATCATAGGCTAATTGATTTCATAATCTATGGATCCATTTGACATTAATTAGAATTCTAAACATAACTTTGAATTTGTTTGAGTGATACGAGGAGAAAACTTCTTATACAGTTCTAGGGTATTTAATTTACATCTATCCCAATAAGCAGTTTATCAAATCATTGCAATTGATGTTCGAGCCCAAAGAGCCTAGCAAGTGAAGAGATTTGGATCTAGCATTTGTTATGAACAAAAAGTGCAACAATATGACAGAACAGTAAAGAAAATCACAGCATCATATAAAATTTGGTTTAGTCTCTAATGTGACAATGCAGGCTTCTTGAATGGGACTATAGACAGTTTGGATCACCCAAATTCAGCAATTAGCCTCTTTGTTTTACTACAATCTTCAAAACCAAGGAGTTAGCAAGCACATTTGGATCCCAAAAACAAGATTTGTTAGAAAAAAACATGAATTGATAAATTGCGGTTGGTCTCTCAGGCATTTTATCAAACATGTAGAGTGCATTATCCAAAATCCTATATTACCGTATAAGGTTAGACCGATCCCTTGCAAAATCAAGACAGGCAGTCCGAATATGATTGAAATCTTTTGCACCCAGTTCAGCATTCAGAAATGGTACTCCGCCTCCTTCGAAGTACCCTTTCTTTGACAAACATTCCATGAAGTTCACCCACTCCGGCCATGGGTCTATCTGAACATTCAATACCCTTGCTTTTGAAATCTCTCTGAGATCAACCTGTTTTTCAGAAATCCAGCTTCTTGGAGACCTGGGTATTGAAGATCCATGTTCGAGCTTGTCAAAATCGAGTTCCAGCTCCGAATCTGAGGCCAGACTTTTGTTGGAACCATGAAACAGCAGAAGCGGAGTGAGATATTTAGGACTTCTCAGCGTGGAATTGAGTAATTCATGTGTTGAACTATTGATATTCATTATCCGGAAGATTTTATCCATTTCGAAATTGCGAAGAATCCAACAGATTTTGGCGGGAACTTCTAGGTTTAACATTCAATCTGCAGAAGGAAGACGCGAAGAGGCTCCACAAACCATTTTTTGATGCGAACTTAGAGGCGTGCTTGGTAACGAGAATACCTTATCTGTCCCCGGAATTCCGAGTGTTTGGATACTTAAAAGCCTGACCAGATATTAAAAAAAAAAAAAAAACATAAATTTTAGATTAAATTATAAAACTAAGTCATAATATTTTTAAATTGGTCTTCGACTATTTATGATTTGAAAATTATAATGCTTTTTTATGATTTGAAAATAAACCGTTGATATTTCTATTATATCATAGAATCTAATATTGAAATTTAAAATTATTTAAGAAGTGGCTAGTACTTATTTTATTGATTTAAATATTAGATTAGAATTCTTTTTTATATTTATAATTAAAAAAATAATGAACACTCCACGAGCATATGGATTCACCAAAATCATGTCTACTTCTACCAGACCAAATATGCCTCATAATGTATTTTAGGGGTTGACATGGTGTCAACTCTCCACCACCTCAAAGCTTGTGACTTAAGTGAGCTACTTGTGGCACATACGTGTGTCATGGTGTAGGCGAGTATCTAGGTGACTTCCTTTGAAATGGATTTTCGAGGATAGTATCATTTGTCTCGACATTGCGCCTCAACCCATGTGTTGAAGGTTGGTATATGCACTCACTATCCAACATGTAGTCCGTAAATGGTTGTGCATAGACATAGGAGGGTTCATGCCACGATAGAACCTAAATGGATGGATGTTTGGGATGTTTGGGATGTTCGGATGATACAATTGACACATGACTGATTCTTGATGGACATGTTTGAGCAAGCTATGATGGTCGAAGTTGTCTTAGGACTTGGGTTGACATCACATGTGTGGGCCATGTTATTGGGAATCAAGATGATGATAGATGAGATGCATATTGTATAGGAGAGACCTTGGCCTAGAGTAAGGCTAGGTCGGCTCAAATGTCTTGGTCTAGTATAGAGACAATATAATTAGACATGGGAGGAAAATGTTGAACGACTCGGGTATGTTGACATTATGCCCTAGCCCATATATCAGAGGTTGGTGTATGCACCCACTATCTGGTATGGAGTCTGTAAATGATTGTGCATAGACATGGGAGAGTTCATGCCACAATAGAATCTAGATGCCTCGACGATACGATTGACACATGGGTCAATTCTTGATTTTCGATGGACATGCTCAAGCAAGCTACAATGGTCGAAGCCATCCTAAAACTTGGGATGACATCACGATGCATCCTGGGTCATGTTGTTGAAAATCAAGATGATGACAAGATGAGATGCGACGTTGCACATGAGAGACCTTGGCCTAGAGTAAAGGCAAGGTTGATTCAGATGACTTGGCCAAGGGTAGAGACAAGTTGACTAGAGTCACAGACGATTGAACATGCGTGCACAAGCGGCATTGTGCCCAACCAAGCTTAAATTTCACATGAGTTGTGTTTTATCAGCAAAGGAGAACCTCGCCTAAGGTTCGACGAAACCTAAAAGTTGGGCTAAAAATGTGAACGAGACTTGAGTTCCTCGCAAGACTTGTCATGAGCATGTCAAAATCATGACGTTGTGACCTTGTGCGTGTAGACATATTGGTCTGACGTGGACAATGGACTAAGCTAGCTGAATAGTTGGGCTATTAGGTTGGGCGGGTTGAGCTTTTGGAATTAGTAGAAGGGCTACTAGAAGAGACTGAACCAAACCAAACCAGCATGATTTGATGCTACCCTACAATTTCAAACAAAGTTCGGTGTGGTCATCCTCCAAGAATCCGAAGATACCCCAATTGAAAAAGAGAGTTCGGATTTGCATAGGGAGTGATGTTGATCCTAATTTTGAGCAAGAAAATCTATATATTTTTTTTACAAAACAACTTGGGAAGCCATGGCCTAAGCTCTTCAAATTGGCTTGCACATTAGGTAAGGGGAGAAAGGTCTTTTGGGACCCATATGTTATTGGACTTTCTTTATCCATTTTGTGACATGATCAAATATCATATGATAGAGAAATGGAAAAGTGTTGAAAGATCTCGCTATCAAGAAAAAAATAAGAACACAAATGAAATTAAATGAGTATAGTTTACACGTATGAACGTTCGTCAAGTCACACGCAATCACATAGTTTGGATAACTTCAATTTGTAGTAAGAAAAGTGTTTAAAAAGGAATGGAGAGTTTGGCTCAAGGAAAGATACAAGTGTGGAAAAGTGAAAGTATTGATTGAGAGAGCTAACTCCAAATTGGGTATCAATCATATCCATTTGTATTCTTTCAAAATTGAAGAAGATACATATCAAGAACAAAAGAAAGTTGGGTATAGCCTCATGAACAGACCCAACCCAACCCAACCATCATCATTTTTCCTTCCCATATTTACAAGAAAGCTTTCTATCACAGATCATCACCATTCTTTTGCTCTCCCATGGATGTTAGTCTTTCAACTAAGATATCTAAAGCTTCCTTCATCCACCAATGTCTACACACTTCTCTAGCTTCACCTACACCCATCTGACCACACAAAAAAAAAAAAAAGAAGAAAAAAAACACTTAATACACTGTTTTTGGTATGTAAATCAGTGGATTTTTTGTTTAAGAATCAAGAACATACCCATATTCTTTGTCGAACATGTTTCTCTGGCCACAGCTCAAGTTGTTCCTCAACAAACAAAGGGAACATATAGCCTTCATAGTATGTGCCTTGGCTTTTGCTGATGAATCTCCATTTTCCAAGTTCAGACTGTATGTAACATAACAAAGAATCAGCACTCATTGATGTTGTTCCAAAACAGGGATTACTTACAAGGGGATTCCCAAAACAGAACCTACCTCAACTTTCCCAACAACACCAGCTTCTTCAAGTGATTCTCTACAAGCAGCTTGTTCCAAGGATTCATCGAGTTCCCAACCACCCTGAAATGGGGAACAAAATTGATTAAGAACAAGAGCCCAATTGAGGAAAACAAGAAATTGTTTATTTGGAAGTACCTTGGGAAACATCAGGCCTTGACCCTTTTGAGAACTTATCACAAGCACCTCATATGCATCACGAATTTTCACCCCATCTTCGCTGAATTTGAATCTATAGGGTATACAACTGCAAGAATCCATCATTTTTCAATGTTAATGAATGAAATTCCAGGGAAAGAACAAAGAGGAACAAATCAATGGTGGGAATTAAGAAACAAATTAAACCCACCCGACAACTTGGCGAAACCCCATATGATTGTATCTTTGCAGCTCCCTTCCGGTACGAGAAACCAAGCAAGCCATGTTCGGGAACAGAGTGTTATGAAAGCAGAGAGATGGAGATGGAGATGGAGATGGAATTGTGTTGGTTGATGAAGATGAGAAAAGAAAGAGAGGTATGTATGTATATATAGAAGGGATAAAGACGCGGGGAAATGGAAGAAGGGTCTTTGAGTGCGTGCGATAGGCGTAAAGATAGCGTATAAAGCGCACAAAGGCTTATGCGGCCACGGCCCCAAAGTGGTGAGGTTGATATCAAAATTTCATCAATTTCTGGGTCTCTTGTGTTGAGGTTCCGTGTCGTTTCCTTCAAAAACGAATCATCATTGATTCCTTTGTTTTTATGGGAAGCGTTTGTAGTGATTCCAAAATTTTGACTTTATAATGGAATGCAATAAATGTAATTTTGGTCATATTATAATATTGTAATAATCTACGTCTCCACCGACACGTTGGTTGGCCTAGATTACGATAGCTACAGAGACACTTCCAAATTTTAACAAAATTACAATTTCACCCTTATCATGTATCTTATTTACCAATGTGTCTCTCAAACCCTACACTTCCTACTCGATAACCTGACTAATCAAACCGACTCCAATTATCTAACCCATATCATAAAGGTTGACTTGAATTTTTTTTTTTATTTGGATTGATTTTATGAATAATAAAAAATGCAGATCTATTTACAAGTTGACATTTTGAGGGCGTTAGATATTTAAGTTTTTACAAGATTTTAATTATTAAGGTAAAATCTTTTAAAATAATTAAAAAAAGAAAAAAAAAAAACTCAACAACCCAATCTGAGGGTCAGGTAGGTTGGATTGTCAATTTTATTCACTTCAAATGGCTCAACTCACCTATCAAACCAACTCAAAATTTGATGTTAGAACTCAATTTGGGCCTTATAATTAAATTTAAAAAATATATATATGTTTTGTTAAATATTTAATCAAGTTCTGTGACTCCAAATTTAACTTATAATAATTATTGGGGAGTGAAAAAAGAGAAGATATTCGGAAAGTTTTATGATTGTAAAATGTAAAGTGATTATTTTTTAGGGGTAAAAATTAGAGAAGGCAAGTACAATGATATGTCCCCATTAAAACAGAAGTCAAATAAAACAAAGCTACACCTGTTACAGATATTGGTGATTACCTTAATAAATAGATAATTTAGGAAAGTAGTTTAAATGTACGAAGTCCATATAAAAATGATTTATTACGTACCTTATTTTAATCAATAATACAAAAAAAAAAAAAAAAAAAAAAAAAAA